ACTACTGAATACAGTTGTCAGCAGTATCACGATCGACATGGTCCGTTCGAAGCAAAAATATCCAACATTTTATAAATACCCTAAGAGGCTTTCCTCAGTTTAACCAAGACACTTGAGCAAATCACTTCATGTAATCACTGAACAGATCGCATAGTGGACGAAAGGCTCTGGTTACAATTTCATTTTGGGAGGAACATATGAGTAGGAAGTCTATTTTAGTCCTGACAGTGTGGATCACTTAGTTGATTTCGTTTTCTTTTGATGATTTGTACTGAGTTTTTCATCTAGTCGATAATAAACATTAAGGCATATTCTAGACTGAAGCACCTTCTGAACTAGACGATATACAAATATAGGCTGAATATGAATGATAGGAAGACACAAACTGTTAAACTGATAAAATATATATCATACCAGTTGAATAATCTGGTGACTCATAAATTGACAGTCTAATGTGTACCATTGGCAGGACACTATTAGCAACAAAGTACTGTGGGAAAGAACAAACCAGATTCCAGCGGAGGAAGAAATCAGGAAAAAGCGCTGGAAGTGGATAGGACACACATTAAGGAAAGCACCCAACTGCGTCACAAGACAAGCACTCACATGGAATCCTCAAGGCCAACGGAAGAGAAGAGGAAGACCAAAGAACACATTACGCCGGGAAATGGAGATAGACATGAGAAAAATGAACGAGAATTGGATGGAACTAGAAAAGAAGGCCCAGGACAGAGTGGGTTGGAGAATGCTGATCGGTGGCCTATGCTCCATTAGGAGTGACAGGTTTAAGTAAGTAACATCAACAAACGGATAGTCAGGTAAACTCAACTGACGAGTTCTCAATAGGATAAAACATATGACACCTATTTTAATACTTGACACTATCTAAAATATACATATTTTCTATCGTAAAATTTTAAAATTATATTTTACAGATCATTATTAGTAGTATCATTACTTTCATTATAATTCATGCAACTAAGTAAGTCCAGGCATCGTCAATTGTTGATTGTAGTGCAGTATATATACACATACATTTGTACCTGTCTATCTAACTAGGTCTGATGGAAGGTACTAGTCACAGGGGTTAAACCCATATATCTTGATGTATGTATTGTTTACCTATTTCTATCAATGTTAATCAATATAATTCATCTGTGTATATCTGTAGTATTGTGTGCATATATGATTATACCAATGCCTAAATGATGAAAATAGGTTATCATAAATGTATATATAGGTTGTTTGCCAATTGATTAAGTATCAAATGGATATGAGAGTCTACCATTTTATCAATCATCATTAAAGTGAAACTTGAGATAGATGTGAATTAATCGAAGTTGCCATATTGCACTGTCATGACGCAATAAAATTAATATGATGATTAATAAAACAAGATCTTAATAATGAAGTGGCGATAATAGTTAAACTCCGCCTGTAGTTACTGCTGGTCCCAAGCCCGGATAAAGGTAGAGGGTTGGGCATGGGATTAGCGACCTCATCCTGTAGAAAACTAACTCGCTAAAAAACGCTAACCAGAAAAGTAATAATAGTTAAACAGACTAAGTATTGAGTAACGGTAATTGATCAGTCTCTGATGACATATTTATATTTAACGGGGATTACTTCAATTTAGTACATCCAATTGACGAGTTATGTATCTAATGAAACTCAAGTCCTACATTCTGTTGTTCATCAGAATTTAGCTTTACCTAAAACTTGTGAATAAATGATAATATAGAGGCAATCCTCTCAGGGTATATATGTTATTAAAGACTGACTGCTTATAACACATAACATCAACAACTCTTAGAAGTAAACTTTGGTCTACTCAAAGCTGAGTTGGATATGATCGATAACAGATTCTTGTTGAAATGACATTGAAATAAAAATGCTTACCTTTTGTAAGATTCCAGTCGAACCGGTCGGTACATAAATGAAAACTAACAAAAAACACTGAACTGAGGAATTTTAACAATGAGAAATTGTATAGCTCAATTATCCAGTGCCAATTTATTCATTTAACTAAACCAAACGGTTTGCTTAAATACTATTTGTACAACCCCACTGCCGGGATCAAACTAATTAAAAGGACTTTTATCGAATGAAGGACGAAGTGAATTTAGTTAGACAACTATTGAAAACCAGGAAGCACAGGATAGTGACTTTGAACTGGTAGTAGTAAACTTCAGTATTGTGCATCAACGACCTCCCAGGGGATCATATTCAAGAAATTTTGGGCTCGGTGAGAGCGTTTTCGATTAGTGAATCGACGCTTAGTTACTTATATTTGTTACTTTAGTTAATTTAGGATGTCGTACAACCATCTAATAATAACATCAATGGGTAACTGGCTCACACTCAGCAACAGTGAAATCCACTGATCACAACATCTAAGCAAAACCTCGGGAGGTATGAATCTGAACCTACCTCCCACAGTGACTGAGAATCAATTATTTTGGCACCTAAGAAAGGGTGCACAATAAAAACAAAGTTTATAATCAGTTTTTTTATTACTAAAGGTCAATATCTCTACGAAAAAATGATAAACAACAACTGAGATTTTAATATACTTAAATAATCGATGTATCTTTTTTTCTGGTTAGCGTCTTTTTAGCGAGTTATTTTTTTACGGGATGGGGTCGCTAACCCCATACCCAACCCTCCTTCTTTATTCGGGCTTGGGACCGGCAGCAGCCCCAGAGGGGCTCTCGGAGGGACCAGACAAAATTCCAACAGAGGCACTGAAAGCAGATGTAGCAGTAACTGAAAAGATACTCCACACTCTCTTCAATAAGATTCGGGATAAAGAACAAGTACCAATAGACTAGAAAGAAGGACACCTGATCAAGATACCAAAGAAAGGCGATCTCACCAACTGTGATAACTACAGGGACATCATTCTTCTCTCAATACCGAGAAAAGTCTTCAACAGAGTATTGTTAAACAGAAAGAAGGACTCTGTAGACGCACAACTTCGAGATCAACGGGCTGGATTGCGTAAGGATCGATCGGGAACAGAGCAAAATCGCAACACAACGGATCATTGTGGAACAATCAATTGAATGGAATTCGTCAATCTATATCAACCTCATTGACTACGAGAAAGCAATTGATAGCGTGGACAGAACAACACTATGGAAGCTTCTTCGATACTACGGTGTGCCTCAGAAGATAGTCAATATCATACGTGATTCCTATGATGGATTAAACTGAAAAGTCGTGCATGGAGGACAATTGGCAGACTCATTCGAAATAAAGACCAGTGTCCGGTAAGGTTGCTTACTCTCGTCCGTTCTCTTTCTCCTGAATCCGTTGACCGATCATTATCAGCAAAAACTTACTGTGAGAGATAACAAACCAAATTACAGATTTGTATTATTATTGTGTCTCTATAGTTATCATAAAAATATTTCCTGTTTCATTCAGCATTATATTTCAGAGTAAACAGTTTGATAAAGTTTTTCAAACATACCTCATTAATTCAGAATTCACGATGTTGTTGATGTTTATTCATGGTAATGATAATTTAGTATCTTATGACGCTTTCTGAATATAAATAATTTAGTTGCTAAGCTGTCATTGTCACATTGTATAATATTATCAATGATTATTCTTAAGACGACTGAGGTTATCTTCAAATATTTCAATGTTGATTGTGTCAAATCTAATAATTTCGATCATTTTTTAAAAACTCATTTTAATAGTTGAAATCATGAGCCAATTGAAGCTAGACAACGATGGAAAACCTGGAAGCACTGGACGAACGTTTCATCCTATTGTGGGACTCCTCAGCAGTGCGTATCCACGATTCGTAAAATGTTAAAATTCATTTCGAGTTTAATATCAATTATTTGAATACTTAAATGTTAGTACAAACGGGCACCGAAAAGATATTCGTCATACTAACCATTTGATTTGTGTGAGGTCTGGGATATTGCCCGTTGCCAAGATCAAACCAGGTGGTTTTATAAGGAGCCTTTGACCTAAAAGTCTAATCCACAAGGCAATGGAGCAACGTCAGGAGATACAGTCGCATGGTAGCCGGTGACTAACAACTAGTGCATTCGCCATTTGTTCCTTCAGAATTCTGGAGCCGATTTTCACCATTGGTTTTGAATTAGGGTTTTTCAACTCCCCTTTATGGATACTCCATATCCACCGACCTGGTTAAAGCGTTAGACATTCGCTATTCATCCTCTCAATTTAATAGAAAACACCCCTGGTATGAGAGGGAAGTGAGTAGTGATATACCCCGATGAGAATAATGAATAGTAACTTTTGGTATCCATTTATGGACCAATGGTAAACGTATATTTTTATTGTATAATTGTTAAGTAATTGACTTTCTCATATTAGTGTTCCTCTTAATATAATCTTTATTTTAACCTATAAACTATTATTATACAATTTACCGTTCCTAAGTTACATCCAGTCTATCAATTACTATCACCCACATCCACAGCCACTTTTGGCTAGATCTCGTACAAATGTTGTTTCGTATTTCATGGTACGATTTGATCTGTTTGATTGGTATATAAATCCTGTATGTTAAAAATAAAGAATTCATATTATAGAGGCTGAGATTGACGTTATGAACTCAACAGGCAGGGCTGGTCTGGAAGCAGGAACGATAAAAAGACTAGACTGCTCGTACGAATTTTATGCATTATTGGTCCTATCGATAAATCAATTTTCTCTCATTGGCGATATCATTACGTCATATATTAATAGGACATTAGGGCACAATTTATAACAAGTAGGTGTTCCGTGACAATGGCTGTATACACGTGATCATGTAAGAACTAACTCTCCCCACCCTGAGCTGTAACATGGCATTTGTTGTTGCTGTGGATGGGTGGGTGGCGAGAGGTAGTATTCATTTCAAAGCTAAATCAACATGATAACCTATAATATAAAAAAATACTAATTTCTTTCCTTTTCTTGTTCTTTTTTTGTCATTTAAGATCATTGAATTATTATGTGATTCGAATTATCAAATGATTCATTTAGGTCTTATTTATCCAATTACAAAATCAACTAAATGTAGTTTAAATGTCAACTTATTCAATCATTCAAATGCTAACAATGATGATAATGATAATAACAATTATCATGAAGAATTGATCCATTTACGTCAATCAATTGAATCCTATCGTGATTCTTTACAAACTGATCTAATCGGGACAATTCAATCCTCTGAAGCTGTATTACATTTAATTGATCAATTACGTTGTCTCCCTAATACAAATCAATCGATTACAATGTTAAATAGTGTAACTATGTTATCACCACCATCTATTGATACCCATTTAATTTATCGTCAATTGAATACATGGAAAGATCAATTAATCGATATATTGATTAATTGTGGTACCAATGTATGTTTAACTATTGTATTCAATCGATTAAATGCTTTAACACAATTTATTGATTTAAATAATCCTAATCAATATAATAAGAATTCAGTCGAAATCATTAAAACAAAAGAATTATTATATAAAAAATTATGGCCATCTTTATCTCATATGAATGAATTAAATATTGAACAAATCAATCAATTATATCAATTCTGTGAAAAATCAATCAATATCGATCAGAATTATGTGTGTTTAATGACCTTGGTGAATTTAAATTCCCGCATTGAAAATTATGAACAATTTGATTATTTTAAACAAATTATCAAACATATTGAATATTTATTAAATCTATCTAATCATAATCATAATTTATTATTAACAATAGGAATATCATTAAGTAAACAATTACATTATCCGAATTTAACAAATTCTTTATTAGAATTATTGTTTAATGATCAATTACCATCGATTATACATACATTAATTATTCAAGCAATTGATGAAATACATTTTTCAAAAGATTCTAATCACCATAGTAACAAAACACAACTTATTGAAATTACAACAAAATTAATTGAAATCTTTTTAACTATACCAATTCATTTTAATAATGAAATATTAATTAATTATGAAATATTTAAATTATTATTATTATCATCATCCTCTTATTTATCTTCCATAGAGATTACTTATTTATTACGTCAATTATCTAAACAACAGAGATGGACATTAATTAAATTATGTCGTCAATTAATTAATCATTGGTGTCAATTACAAGTATTGAATAATCATGAATGTGATTGTTTAAATGGTTTATTACCGAAATGTCAATTATATTTAGCTGGTAGTTGGTATGGTTTAATTGGTGATCATAATTATAATCAACAATTAAAATTGATTGGTAAATCAATATTATTACATAATGAATTGATTCATATTAATAATCAATTATTGATTGATTATCATTCATATCTTGTATATGATTCATATAATGGATTACAATTATCAAATTTTATGATGAATTTAATCAGTAAAGATGATGAAATATTATTATTTAATTTTAATATACAAGCAAATGAATTAAATAATTTAATTAATTTATCATCCCGTAAACAACAATCACCATCTTCATCTTCATCATCGACGAAAACATTGACGACGTCGACCTCGACGACAACGACAACAGGAGAGACATGGGTGAATTATGATTTAAATTATTTAGGTATATCATTATTACCAAATGAATTATTTTCTGGTGGATTATCAAATTTAATGAAATTATTCTTATCAACAACAAATCAATTTACATCTTTTTTGAAAATAATTCAATTACCAATAGATCAAAGAATTCAAACAACTATATCTTCTGGATGGTTAATACAAATTGATCATTTAACTATATTTACAATGAATATATTAAATGCCATAGAAACTAATTTATGGTATTTCACAGGACGTAATAATCTTAGAAGTAAAATTGGTTTAATCAATGATATAAAAATTCATTTAGTTCAATTTTATAATGAAGATAATACAATGAATATGCCTAGATCCCAATTGTATATTCATAAAGGTAATGCTATACAAGGTTATATTGATTTTATTACAAATATACATATTAATCATTTACCTGATAGTATTTGTTTATCAATGAATCAAGGTGTGAATACATTTATTGTACAATGGTATACAATGAATAATACTACTACTACTACTCAATATTCATCATCGACTACAATACAAAATCCTTCTTCACTTTCTTCTCCGCCTTCTTCTTCGCCTTCTTCACCTTCTTCTTCTACTTATCATTATATATCGAATTATACATTACAACCTGTATCCTATTTTCTAGGTTATGATAATTCATTACAATGTAATAAAATGAAAGCAAAAACAATTTGGTGAAATGGTTTTTACCATTAAAAATCAAATTTGTTTATTTTTTCAAATTTCTTTCATGTTTTCCTTTTTGCTTCTTTCTTCTCTATCTCCTTTTTCATTCAGAATTGTAATTTGTGTTTCTAGGAGAAAACTTACTCACTTCCTTACGCTTGTTACTGTTCGTGAAGGAGCATAGATCGTTCACCAGCATTCTCTATTGGTAGTTCATCTAAAGTTATTGCCGATTTTAAGATCGGGTAAAAAAAAAGAAGAGGGTTGACCATAGGATTAACAACTCCATCCCGTAGTAAATTAACTTGATGAGATTATAATTGATAAATGAACAGAATAGATTTAATGCGTAATTCATTCCTTCATTTAACTAATTCATTATGGAAATATGATATTGAATTCTTAATCTTAGTAACTAAGTAGATATCTTTATGATCGATCATGTTACCATGGTACAAATCTTGTCCATAAATTATAATCTCTTATCACACTTAATCACATAATTAAGAATATTCATTTTTCTAAAATCTCTATGTCAAATTATATATCTTGATTATTTTGTTATAAATCAATAGAATGGGATGTTATTGTTTAAGTTGCATAATCTAGTCATAGAGTTTCCATTGTTTATCTGAATCCCATCATCATTATCATCATTATCATCATTCTATGGATCAATATGCAATTGATTTAATTAATTTAATTTAATAAATTGTTTAGCATTTAACTTTTTTGTTGTTGTTGGTGTCTTACACTGTACTCCAAGTTTAATAGCATATGTTTATTATGTTATTTGATTCAATTCACATGAAGCTTAGAAGTCGATGTTACCAAGACTCAGTGAATCGATGTTTAAAGTTAAATGTAAATATTGAAACCATTAGGAAATGAATCGGTAACTAGATAAACACTTTTTTTTTCAAAAAAGGATACGGATCTTCACGGTAAAACGTTGTTATAAATAAATTCACTTGGTTTTGTTTTACTTGTATCGTCCCATTGTTATTTAAGACAGCAATTGATCAGTCTCATGTTGGCATTTGTGCATTCTGTGCGGATGGCTTCTATATTGACTGAAGTCAAGACTCAGTAACTAAATGGATAACCCGATGGTATTTGAAGTCAATTGTACTGGGTTCGAATTTCAGTGTGAACATCAACTCTGGGATGCAGGTACATTCAACTGACGAGTCCCAGATAGGACGAAACGCGCGTCCTGGATTCCACTGCTAGCCACTATCCATCGTTGTTATGAATACTTCTGTAAAATCATTTAGAACAGTAAGTCATTGTAAGAAGGCATCCTTCAATAAGTTCGAGGAACAAAACGTCGGTTTACTAACATAATGTAAATTTTGATAATGCAACTTCACATGTCTAAATGAGAGAATTCAAATTGAGTGTTGTTCTAAGTAAATAGTTTAATATCGATCGGTTTGATGAATCTTCTAAATCTAATTTAACGAGTGCTAATACCTCCCTGTATTTCTTAGTCCATGCTACTGCTGAATACTTACAATTAACTGTTTGATTTTCAACGCAATTCAAGTTTGTTCCATTATTAAATCATTACAGTCGCATTACATGTAGATAATACAATGAGTGAATTTGGATTTGCCAAGGGCATTTGATGGTAATGTTGTATTCTGCGAATTATCTGTGTCATCAGAATCACATTTGGAAGTTAAGCTGAAACGGTATACAACAAACTGGCAAGTGCAGAGTCTTCTTTTATAAAATTTAGAGCAATTAGTTCCTTTGATAGATTTCGATAGTGTCATTGTTAGGTATGCAGAGGAATATGCCAATAATTATCGTGTCAAGTCGAATGGTGTCCTTGGACGTTAAATGTACATTTCCTATTGGTCGATATTTGCTTCAGTTGTTTAATATTGTGTAAATGTTGTTTCCTATTTTTATGGTATGATGTGGTCTGCTTGGTTAGTATATAAACAGAGTGTGTTTGAAATATAATGATTCATATCTCAGAGGCTGTGACTTTCGTTCTGGACTCAACTGGCTGGGATAGACAGGGGAGCAGGGCCAATCAGGGCACTAGGTCGTTCGTACGTATTACCGTGTCACTGTAACCGATCGATCGATATAAACGCTGCGTATCAAAACCTGCAGTCACTCACACTCGTTACAACAGTCATAAAAAGACGAAGATGATCAGAACTATATGATGATAGATTAGCGCAATCTGATCACACATATACTTGTCATAAAATTGATCTTAACTCTGCCTTTGTGGCTATCCAGACCGTTTCATAGATAAGAATATGAAAACAACTAATCGCGACAAGAAATCTGGTTGTTCCGTTCCAAAGAAAAATCTATATATAAGTTTGTATGATCGGACATCTGATGTAATCAAAAATCGTTTAATGACAGCAATTAAAAAGACATTTAATGCAGCAAAACTGCGAATAACGTTCACTAGTAGGAACTTATTTTCTATATTCATAAAAGATAAGCTTCCCCATTTGGTCGTCTACATGTACATATATCAGTTCACCTGCTCTTGTGGAGTAAAGTACATTGGTCGTAGCCAATGTTTGCTTTCAACTCGGATACAGGAACACGTCACAGTTTGGTTCTATAAGGGTGAGAGGAAAGCAGTTAAGAGTTGTATAATTGAACATCTAATCGACTGTAATCATTCTATGGATCTGCAGTTTCCTTTTAAGGTTGTATATATCGTTCGTACAAATCTATCCAACTCCTAAAACAAGCCGAAGCTCTTACCATCCATGGGCTCAGTTTGGAACCATGCATACAAAAGAATTACGTCCCATGGTTATTGTTACCTTGGTATTATTATTTTTCCAGCATATTTCTCCCTTGACTTATATTTTATATTCTCATTCATTTATTCATAATTACTCATGATATCACTTTATTTATTTCGCATCTCTATTACCTTTAATTACCTACAATGATTGTAACAGAAACATTTTAATCATCTTAACACATTCACATTATAATTCGTTATTAACTTATTAAGTCTATTGTTATTACTTATATTACGTAATCTAGTAGTAGAATCTTTCTATTACATCATCTTAGTTAAACCTTGTTGACATTTCCTCACGGAACTAGTACTTTAACAGAAAAAAAAACTGTTCAGATCTATAAACGATTGTACAGCTTGGTAAGTAATTGATTGACAAGATCCCTTCACTGAACTTCGTGTTTTTAATTTTTGTGATGTTGTACAAAATGGCATATACTAAAGTTTATTAAAGCATTAGCCATACGAAAATTCAAACTCCCTTTGTATAGTCAAAAACGATCTGTTCTCATTTTGAATCTACCATAGAAATATTAATTCATTATCCAGAGTGATAAAGTTTCAAACTGTTTTCTTTATTATCCTTGTCTCTTCATACTCTGCATTTCTAGTGTAGTTTAGTTCTTAACAAGTATATTATATGTGATCAAATTGTTCGAAATGTATTGCATTAATCCATTATCACATACTTCTGATAATCTTCGTCTTCTTCTTATTACACTATTGAAACTAGCAGGTGTTACGGCTATGATGTGATGTGTTGCTCCCATCAATAAGCCATAGAAAACAATAACTTTAAATTGTATGTATCATTACTAAGATTTGATTTGATAATTTCAAATAAAACTTGGATTAATTTTGATTTGGTTATTTAGCTTGTGAAGTAGTGATTTAAACTGAGTTACTGTTATAATGGTTGAGTTTACAACGTTTACATGAATGGGACGTTAATTTACCTTAGAAGAATATCTTCACTAGATTCCCCTCCCAGTGTCTATTCTACAGGACTTCAACACAACTCAGATCAAGAACACGTGATTAGCCTGAGAAGAACGTAAATATTTTTCCACACCAAAAACCCGACATATTCCAACAATAATAAACAACCAATAATTATAAGGATACGAGAATATATAACTCATTTGACACCTGTTGTTGGACATATGTAATACATGTCGCAGTCATCTCAACTGATGAAGTTTCACTATTTCATCAATTGATTTTACCATCCTTACCTAGTACCCATTTTCTAACAAGTGCATTACTCGCTTGGTGATCCCAGGATATACATGCAATGCTTCGAAAACACCTATGATCGATTACTCTTATCGGCATAGTAATAAAAGTATCAAATGAATAGTTTTTATGTAATGAATTTACAATACTGTGATAAATATCCTCAACAACTATTCCTAGAATATAAATATCTAGTTTAATTGTATTAGTTATGTTGGGGTGATCCAGAAAATTACTTGCAAAAGACAAGCAAGCATCAGGAAACACTAAAGAGCGTTTCATCCAATCAGCGTTCACTTGAAGTTTTAGCCCAAAATATCAAGGAAGCGAAACGTCACATGCAGAGGCTCTGATTGGTTGATTGCTACACTGCTACTATGTTGAGTAGCATTCCAGAATCTTCTAGCAACCCAAGGATATTTAAACTATTATCAAAACCCTATATTTTCTGTATTAAAATGAACCTTGGAATAAAGTACTTCTGGCATTCTTTGAATCTTCGCTCTCGTGTTAAGGTCACTGTATAGTTCTAGGTTGGGGGGTTACAGAATAGCTTAGGATACGAATATAGCGTTCGATCCGTAAGACTTATCAAGTTATCAGATCTGATGAAAACAAGTAGTCGTTTTGTTCTTTGAGATGAATAATTTAGTCGTGGAGATCTCATCATTCTTCTTCTTCTTCCTTTTCTTCTTCCTCTTCTTCTCTTTCTTCTTCTTCTTCTTCCTCTTCTTCTTCATACTCTTCCTCTTCCTTTTCTTCTTTCTCTTCTTCTCCTTGCTCCTCCTCTTGTTCTTCTTCCTCTCCTTCTTCTTCCACTTCTTCGTCCTCTTCTTCTTCTTCTTCTTCCTCTTCTTCTTCTTCTCCATCAAGATAAACTTCAACCATCTAGCTCATAGACACAAAACTCTATCAAAAACTCAATATAGTACTACACATGATGAAAGAAACAAAATGATCAATCTAAATTTTATGTAAAACG